AACAGGAAGGTTTTGACCTGGTGCCGAAATGTCATCAACGTGGGCGCCAGATGAATTTCAGTCGGGAGGGCATTCCATAGTCTGGGGGCAGCTGCCGAAAAGGCCCTTTGCCTACAAGCCATCCCTCTTACCTCCTTGAGGGACGGCTCTTTCAAAAGGGCCCCCTGGCTAGATCTTAACTGCTGGGTAGGCTCATATGGGGGCTTCTAAAGCTATCGACTCCAACCCCCTGCTCACTGCAGGAATCCTAGTCAAAGTAAATCTGACAGATGATTCTCTAATTTTCTCCTGAATTCCTCCAGCGCTGGAGCACTTGCTACCTCCCAAGGTCTTTGGTTCCATTTTTGTTCAGCTCCAACAGTTAGAAAAGTTTCCCTGATAGTCTGGCTTTCTGTAACTTGAGCCCATTCTTCTTGCTACCTGGCCTTTGGTTCCATTTTTGTTCAGCTCCAACAGTTAGAAAAGTTTCCCTGATAGTCTGGCTTTCTGTAACTTGAGCCCATTCTCAAGGATGACAGAGAACAGATCCCATCCCATCTTTGTATGACAATCTTTCAAGAATTTGAAAAGTGCTATCATTTCAAGACAACTCTTGCCCACCACCTTCCTGTTCTGAATCTGAGAAAGGAGAATTACTCACTCCATAAAGGTGGTGCAAACCGCCTGCAGCAGGCAGACCACTTGCTTGCATACAGACCGTCTGTTTCCCCACTTTCTGGTGACGGGAGGCAGGCTGCTGTTGCTGAAGGAATGGTGCAGAGTGGTTCCTTGTCTTAGCGCCAAGATTTGGGCCGTCTGTAGAACAGAAAAATAATCTGTAAGGAGAAGGTGGGAACAGCAAAAGAGAAGTTCTGAGTTGCAACACCCTGAGGAAATGCCAGACAAGGTGACAAGCATTCCAGGTGGGAACAGCGGCACTCAGGGGAGGGGGAGCCGCCCAAAGGGAGGGCTCCCCTTCAACCATTCTGTTGATGGCCCTGTGGTCAGGGAAGCAAAGAAAGAAAACAATACTAAAGCTTTTGGGCCTCAGAGCCATAAGCAGAGACTGGTCTACCTCGGCTGAGAATTGGCTAAGAAAGACTGTTCTGGATAAAGTGACAAAGTCAGCAGCTGAAGCCACTCTGTCAGTAAAGGCTACTGTGATGATCTGAAGGAGAATGGGATTTGTAGTCAGTGAAAATGGTGACTGTTAGGTTCAAAGCGATATAATTTTAAGGCATTGGAATGTGTTAGGTCATGAGACTGTTTTTCAGATTCACTGACTGCCTGGTAGAGAGAGAACTGCAATAACAAGGCAAGAACGAAAAGTCTCAGCGAAACCAAAAACCGCATACCGTCTTAACTGGCAGCAAGATAATGCACCTGGACTTCATGAGAATTCCGGGTGGAGAGTCATGTAAATCCCCTTCATGGATTGCTGCCTTGTCATGGCGAAGGGGCTTGAGTCATCCAAAGAAGCTATGGGCTCTGCCATGCAAGGACACCCAAGACGGACAAGTCTTAGTGGAGACTTCTGGCTAAACGCGATCCACATGGAGCAGGAACTGGCAAGCTACTCCAGTATCTTTGCCAAGAAAACTCAATGAACAGAAACAAAAGGCTAAAAGATATGATGCTGAAAGATGAGCCCCTCAGGTTGGAAGGTATCCAACACGCTACTGAGGAAGAGCGGAGGACAAATCCAAATAGCTGGAAAGCTAATGAACTGGTTGGGCCAAAGCTGAAAGGATGTTCAGCTGCGGATGCGCCTGGAAGTGAAAGGAAACTCCAGTGCTGCAAAGAAAAATACTGCATAGGAACCT